CGGAGGCTCAGAATGGTGAAGTCACTTCCCCAAGGTGATGAAGCTGGAATTCAAACTTAGGTCTCCTTGACTTCAGTCCTCATTATCTAAGTCCTGTCCCAGACCCCAGGCCTATGCTGGACCCAGGGGACATAGCTGGGCCAAAATGACAGACACACCTCGTGTCCTCAGGAAATTCAGTCTGGCAGAGGAGCGAGCTGTAACCTGGCAGTGACATCACAGCATGGTTCATGGAGGCTTGGGAGTGCTGAAGCCCTGAGGAGTGACCTCAACCCAGGCTGGGGGAAGAGCTAACTTAGCTAAGAGCTAAAGGATGGGGCTAGAAGCAGGGAGGGTGGTAAGCCAAGCAGAGTCAGCGCTGTGGTTTAGGAGAATTGCATGTGGTCTGGGGAGGTGGGCCGACTTGAATGGGCGTAGTGGAGTGGCTGTGTGGGGGACAGGGTGTGGGGCTACACTGCTGGGCACAGGCCCAGTCAGGGCCATAGGGGTGCAAATGCTGAGCTAAGAGGCTTTGCCCGTTTTTTCTTGACCTCCATTCTATTTCCACATGCCCTGGTCTCGCATGTTTCACCTCCTTTCTCCCCATCCCCTAACAACTTAAAAAAAAAAGGAAAATGTACTCTGCTCTTGGAAGGTGATGGCAAGCCCATGCTCTCTGCTGGGGTGTGTGATAATTTCCATCAGGACAGCCCTTTACAGGATGCTGTCATTTGGTCCCCTGAGCTCTATAAGACAGGTGTCACTGTTGACATAAAGTGTGAAGATGAGACTCAGAGAGCTTAAGAAACTTGGCCAAGGTCACACAGTCAGGCAGCCAGGCAGACAAACAGCTGGGATTGAAGCCCAGGTATCTGGATTTGCAGCGTGTCAGGCTGATGTCTGCTTCTGCAGCCTCAGTGTCTCTTTAAGGATGGGAGAACCTAGCTGAAGGAAGGGTCTGCTGACACCTGGAGTGTTGTCTGGGGACTGACTGGCTCCATTTTGGCCATTGGTCCTTCCCTTAGCAGCTCAGAGCAACAGCCTGAGCTAGCTCTGGATGAAGACAGGTCTGAGGGCCTGGCCAAAGATAGGGCCCCCTCAGTGGACCTGACCCTGGGCTGGGGCTGTTAGTAGGGAGTAAATGACAGTGGGGTGCCAGGACAAAGGCGGTATGGAGAGAAAGGGCTCCCAAAGCCTTAAAAAATACATTACACAGACAAAAAACAGTGCTTGTGAAGTGATTTTTGTTCATTTTAGAAAATTTAAAAATACAGATGGATAAAAAGGAGGAAACAAAGGCACACATTATCCCAGTGCTCAGAGACAGCACACACACACCTAACATCTATTTTTAAGCAAAATGGGATCAGTGCCAGTAACATGTTTTCTTTCATTTAATGAAACACTGTAAGCCTTTCACCTTGGCACTAAATATTAATAACATTTCCCAAACCAACTTCTTAGGACATGCATATCCAGAGAGATAATAGATATCACTTGTAAAAGAGTTCCAAGAGCAAATCATTTTGGGAAATACGTGGGTAAACAGTTAAAGAAGTATCTTTGACTTCAGTATGCTTCTCCAAGTAAGGGTCTTAGAGCTTTTTCTGGGAACCCTTAGTAGCATTTCAAGGAAATACATGGAATAAGTTCTATAACATAACTTATGTGCATATATATTTATAGATGTATGAATATTTTAATAGTATATTCACATGATCAGAATTCAAGAAGTGAAGAGTATATGGCTGAAAAAACAAGTCCCCCTCTAATTTCTGACCATGGCCTTTCCAGGAGGCAACCAATTTTATCAGTTCCTTTTATATCCTTTTAGAGATCATTAATGCATAGACAAAAAGCTCTAATATTCACACACATTTTTCTATAGCATCATTTCAGGGTCGTGTAATATTCCCATACAGGTATATCATAATTTATGTAACCAATTCCTATCATGGGGTATTCAGCATATGTTCTCACCTTCCTCACCACACCCCCATTACAAACAAGACCAGAGGAACGTCCTTGCAGCTTCATCTTCATTTATAGCCTGTGCACAACATCCTTTGTTCACATCGTGTATACTGTGCAGGCAGTGAGGCTCCTGACTCAGACTGCCTGGGTTCAAATCCAGGCTTTGCCACTTGTTAGCTCTGTGTCCTCAGGCCATTGTCTTAATCCTTTTGTGCCTCAGTTTCCTGCCTGTAAAACACTGGTGATATAAACAGCTTCTGCCTCATGGGATGATGGCTGTAGGGATTATATGAGATAATGCATGGAGAGCCTGGCATACACAGAGCATTTAATAAAGGTTAGCTGTTACTGTTATTATCCGCAATTATTTCCTAAGGCAATCTTCCTAAAAGTGGAATTGCTGCGTCAGAAGGGTATGCAATCTTCCTCAGCTTTACACGTTGCCAAATTGTATTCTGGAAAGGTTGCACCAATTTGCACTCCCACCAGTGAATGACAGGGCCTGTTTTTTCCACAGCCTCACCAACACGAGGTATTATCAAGTATTTAATCTCCGTCAATTAGCTAGGCAAAAGATAACGCCTCTTTGTTGCTTTAATTTGCATTTATTTGATTCCTGGTGAGGCTGACTGCTTTTCATAAGTGTGTTGGCTCATTGTTATTTCTATTCTTTTTGAATTGCCTATTCTTGTCTGTGGTCTGTTTTTCTACTGGGTGCTCATCTTCTTTCTGATCTGTAAGAGTTCTTTATAAGTATTAAGGCTACTCACTTTTTGCTACAATTTTTTTCTCCAGTTATCTCTTTCTTATAGTCTTCATATTTGGTTTATAATTTTTGTTTGTTTTTGTCACCTGGAGATTGGATGCATATCAACCTATCAATCTGTGGGCCTTTCAGGAACTTCATTCATTATTCTAAGTGTAATTGAAGTCCTGCCTCAGCATCCTTTGCTCTTACGTACACCACACCCTCTTCCATCTGCTTGCTCTGGGGCCCCCAGTCACTCTTCATCAATAGTTCTTAGCCCTAGATGCTAATAAGAACCATAGGGGGAGCTTTAAAAAGTATGTAGGTGCCTGGGACATGTCCTAGACATTCTCTCTCTCTCTCTTTTTAAATTGAAGTATAGTCAGTTACAATATGTCAATTTCTGGTGTACTATCCTAGACATTCTGAAGCAGGGCCTGTGAGAAGGAGGTCCAGGTGTGTGGGTTTTAAAAATATATGATAAATATGTAACATCCCAGGCAAGTGCACATATCCTACACTTGATCTTAACCAAAAGGCCAAGAAGTGATAATGCACACATCCTAAGTGTACAGCTCAGGACTAGCTGCATACTGAACGCATCTTCATAGCTGGCTATTTTGCTCCAAGGTTCGGTTGACACCCAGTGATCTACCCTCTTGATCATCTGGTGACCTCCAACTAGGCTCCTCCCCCTTCTTGTGAGCTGGGACACAAAGAGCTCTTTTCAGGTTCTCAGGTGATTCCTTCCCCTGTTTGGAGAGCACTGACTTTCCTTGAGGTTCTGAGACAAAGGAGCCCCCCTGACTCCCCCTCCCTCCCGATGAGCCTGGTGGGAGGAGATGGTGGTCACTCTACTACCTCCTGACATGTGTCCTGGTGTAGTACTATGCACTAGGCCCATGGCCACTGCCCAGCGGTGGTGGTGATGGTCACATAGAGACCCAGAAACAGCAGGCACGACCCAATTCAGAGGGCCTGAGGAACTAGGGGCGTCAAAGTCAGTCCCTGCCACCAATGGAAAACCCAGGACTGTTTCCCATCACAAGGAGCCACCCCATCTAGTGGGAACCCTGTGAGACCCAACAGCCACTTCTTGACAGCCTGCTCACTTGTTCCCCATTCATCCATTCGTTCATCCTACTACATGCCGGGCACTGCTCTGGGGCCTGGGTGTAGAGCAGTGAACGAGACAGATAAGCTTCCTGCTCCTAGACAGCCTGCATTAGTGAGGAGGGTAGATAATAGCAAAAAATCTCAGGAAACATGAGGCAGTAATAAGCCCTGGGATAAAGGCCTTGAGGTGAGAATGAGTTCAGTGAGTTCAAGGGATGAAAGATGCCCAGGTGGCTGGAAGATTCTGGAAAGCAGGGGTGGCATGAGGGGAAGTAGGCCCAGGTGGCTGACGTGAGGCTATGTGAGCCAGGACGAGAAGTCTGGGTCTGTTTTGCCTTTTCTTTTCCCACTGTTTCTGTGCCTACTAGAAAAATTGAAATTAGGTATGCAGATCACACTAGATTCCTATGAGACAGCCCTGGTCTAAAGAATGACAAAATAGAAGTTAGCGTACATTTGAATCATGCCCTGTTCTTTACCAAGAGTATTCTTTTCTATCTCTTAACGGTTCCTCACAGTCATCATCTGAGATGCCGAAAACTGTCTCCTGTTCCAGCAGCATCTGGTCCTCCTCCCTCCCAGATATCTTAGTTCACGGCTCTTTGAAAGCCAAAGATAGGTGTTTGGAAAAGGAAGAGGACCCCAAGAGCAGGTTGCATTTTATGCTTCAGGCAAGTCCCTAGGAGGGAGGGGTGGCAGCTCAGAATGCCCACTGGGTGGCACCAGGAACACTGCCCAGAGGACCTCTGCACCCTCACTGCTGGGCCTGGAGCCTCATCAGGCTTTCTGTGGCGAGAAGTGTGGACAACCTGCCCCAGACGGCCTTGGATTTTTGTAGATGTGATGGGAAAGCATCAGAAGTTTGTAAGTTGAGAAAGGATTTGATCTTACTTTCTGCATATTAAGCTCATTCTTATCCTGAGCCCCATTGCTTCTCCCCCCGGATCCAGGACCAGCCACAGTCTCTCAGCCCCTTAGTCAGTCAACATGTGATTACTGAGTGCCTACTCTGTGCCAGGTTCTGGGCTTTGTCCCAGACAGTGATGGATCTAGCCACATACGGAGTAATCACTCCCACACACTGCGGAGTCTAGCTTGTTGTTCTCTGTTATTGTTTTGTTACATAAGAAATACATTTCTGTTGTAGAAAAATTATACAACACAAGTAAGGAAAAAGAAAAGCACGTTTAACCCGTTCAATTACCACCAGAGAGAGAACCACTGTCAACATTTTGAAATATCTCCTGCAAGACTTTTCTCTTTAAAACAGCTTATATCCTACTTTTTTTCTGGTCAATACGTTGTAAAGACATTTCCCCAAGTCTAGAACTTTAGATCTAAATAATTTTAGAGGCTGCATAATATTCCGTTGCTCAGATGAATTTGTTAGGTTGTCTCCAATGTTCTGCTAATATTAACGATACTGCCAAAAACTTCTCTGTAAATTCAGCTTTGCTGCCAAAGGGAGGAGTCACAGCCCTGAGGGTCCGTGTGTCTGTCATGGCACAGAGAGGGGACTCTCAAAGGCCCAGCACAGAGAAGAGCGGACAGATGAGAGGCTTCAGGGAGAAGCAAGAGGAAGATGTGTGCTCAAAAGAAGGGGATGGAAATTCCAACACCTTGCCTCCACACCTGTCACTGATACCCCGCTTCCCCTGGGGCTGCTCCTTCTCCACACATGGAGGGTCAGGCGGCAAGCTGACGGCCTCAGTGGCCCTTGGGTGTTGGTCCCTTCACCTCCCATAACGTCTCCTCCTCAGGCCAAGCCGTGTCTCCTGACCTCCCATCCTCCTTGAGAGGTTATTTCGCCCCATTTCCTTCTTCCTGGAACGGGGCCCAACTAAGCGGCAGGACTAGGACGTTCTGGAGCGGGGGTGTGGGGACATCCCCTCTGGCAACTTTGTAGTAAGAGGAAGGTCTCTCACGGACGACCTGGGTCTCTACAAAAAGATTTCCTTTGACGGAGGGTCCCATAAAACCTTAAGACACACTTCAGCTGCCACAGGTCGGACCGTGGGTATCTGGGGGCTTCTGCTTCCTCGTCACCTGATGCCAAGCCAGGGCATCTGGCCTGCATCTGTGTGACAAGGAATCCCCAGAAAGCACCTCTCTGAAGATAACAACAGTCAGAACAACCAGGGCTGCTCCTTTCCCACATCCCAGCCCCGAGGCCAGGAGGTACCGCTGCTGCCAGCAGCCTGACCTCATTCCTCTCAGCAGTGGGCGGTGGGTGCGGAGCCCGCAGAGATCTGAGAGCAAGACAGACGCCCGGGACACGGCCAGGCAGCCCAGCCAGGAGGCCCTGGCCCAGCCTCCCTCCCAGCAACCAGGGGGCAGGGGCAGTGGACTCTTAAAAGGGTTAATGATCCTCACCTCATGACTAAGGCTGAGCAGTCCCCTTTGCAGGGCAACACCTGGAGACAATGCGGCCAGCCTGCCTGGCATCAAAGTCTCGCACTGTCCTGCTGCTGACAGGCTGCGAGCTGGCCCCCTCCCCACCCTTCTCCCACCCACAAAGTGACTGTGACCTATTGGAGGTTAATTACAGACTCCAAGTTCAAATGAAAAAGAAAGAAAGAAAACAACAACTAACCCTACAGCTGGTTTGAGTGGGCACAGAGGGCCTGCTCTGAAACGGGCCTTCCGGCGTCCTCCCCGTGGCCTGCCCGGGAGCCACTCGATGTGCACAGGCCAGGCCTCCCAGAGGGAGTGTGTGCCCCGCTGGGCCCCTTGGCTTTCCCTGAGCCACCACTCCTCGGCAAACCAGGCAGAGCCTGATGCCTGGGCTTGCCTTGCCCTCTTCTCACATCCATCCAACAAATACCCACCTCCAACAGTCACTGTGATGTGCCAGGCCCCTACCAAGCATCAGGGATCTGGTGCTGAGCAAGACACAGCCCCTGTGGTCGGGCTCCACCGAGACTGGGATGGGGCAGAGCCTCACTGAGGGCCACTTTCCCTGCACCAGGGAAAGCCAGCCTGGACCTGATGGGCTCTCAGCTTAGCAGGCCAGGAGCCTGGCACCTCAGCTGCAAGGTAGAGAAGAGGGGCCAGGGCTGGTTGGGAATGGGAGCTAGGGAGGGGAGGCAGAAGCTGGTGCAGGTGGGGGGTGGGGTGGTAAGAAGGGGAAGGGAGGATGGAGGAGACAAAACTTGGCATCTCTAAGACCAGCAGAGATATTTCCTGCCTTTAGCTTCCCCTGACCATCCAGCAGAACCCAACCGCTGACACTCAGCCCTCCAGTGTGAGGGCAGGGCATGAACAGGCCCAGCCTGGCCACCAGGGCCAGCACTGTGCCCGCCCCGCCCCAGCCCCTCTGCCAGGAGCCAGGCAGCCTGACAAGCGCTGCCGCCTCGGGGCCCTCCCATGCGGTTCCTTGCCCAGGCTCAGGACTGAGACGTAGGACACGGGCAGCAGAGATGGGGGAGTGTGGGGAAGGCCACCTCTGCCTGGGAAGATGGCACAGGGTCACAGAGCAGAGGTACCAGTTGCCAGGGCAGCATTCAGGTACTAGCACAGATGTGCAGTGTCCCTGGTTCTCATCAGCGCTTGGGGCACAGGCCACAGACACCTCATTTTGGCTCAGAGGAGCAGCACAAAACAGAGGAAAGAGTGATGACTGAGGACACAACAGCCCAGGTCTTCATCCTGCTCTCCCCACTTTCCAGCTGTCCATCCTTAGGTGAGTGGGTTAGCCTCTCTAGGCCTCAGGTGACTCACCTATAAATGACACCCTGCCTGTCTTAGAGAAAGCTCTCTATGGACAGATGGAAGAGATTCTCATCTCTTTCACTGCTGGGGGTGGAGGTAGGGACAAAGCAGATGATGGTCCTGGAAGGCCATTACCACGTGGCCAACTCTGCTTAGTCTCCTCGTTGGGGAAGGCTGAGCCCTGGCCCCGGGGAGCCCTCAGTGAAGAAAGCCTGCTGCTGATGGACTAGGCCACCCCTTGTTTGAGGAAACCAGAGAGAGCTGAGGAGGGGATTCCAGAGCCCCTGTCCCCTTTGGGATGGGTCTGCACTTTCGGCCTCATGAGCCTGGCTGGAGAAAGTTGTTCCTGAAGCTCTGGGTCATGGGGAAATGAAGTGGGGTCAGGAAAAGGGGAGGCACCTTCTACACCAGACAAGACTGGCTTCTCAAACTGAGATGCACGCAAAGCCACAGGATGACCTCAGTGGGCCTCTTTCTGAAGGTTTTGCCAAGCTCATTAAGGAAAAGCAGCACATTTGTATGAAAACAAACCTATGATGGAGTACAATATCAAGTTTATGTGGATTTTAAGATAAAATAAAAATACAAGAATTCAAAGAAATGTTAGGTTTTAGAGAAAGGTCTTAGCAGGCAAGGATACATGCCCATATGCTCGCCAAATGCAGATACCCCAGTGGGTGCAGGAGGCCCAGGCTGCCAGACGCCTGGCCACCCTCCTGGCAAG